ACACACACACACACACACACACACACACACACACACACACACACACATTACTGATACAAAGCTTTTCTCCCAGTCTGCAGAGAAAACAAGCTGGCAACAGCTAACATGAAATGATTCCTTCCAAGGTTGTAGTGTTCATAAAAAACAGTTTGCTGGTAATAAAGATTATGGATTATGAGACTTATCAAACTCTCTTGGCATAAATCATTCAGTGCGAAACACGACGGCAGAATACAAATAGCACACATTCAGAAATACTCAAGTTAAGTACAAGTACCTCAGAGTAAATGCAGCTACTTCCACCAGTGAAGAATGTTACTTTCATGTTGGGGTTTGAGTAATCACCTGTAGCAGAGAGGATGTTCCTCCCCCTCGGGGAGAGGAGGCAGCTCTGGAGGTGTGATGAAGACTGTGTGCTCGCTGCGCTGAGACTCATCAATCTCTATCAGCCTGGTCTCCTCCGGTCGGTCGCCGTCCACCTGCAGAACACACAAACACACACAGAGAGGTTTGGGTGGTGGTACCGTCACCTTCCATCCGTCACAGCTCATGGGGAAAACAGGGAAGTAACGTCAACACAGATCCTGACATTATGGCCTGTAATAAATACTTCAGTGGGTTCACACAACACAGGCTGATGCACCTTTGAAAAGCCTTCTTTTTAAACCGGAGCATCATTTTAAAAGAGCTTTGCAGCCATCCCCCTGACAGCAGGACTTATAGAGAAAGGTTGTCTGGGAGAGCTGAGGGAGGACGACAGCAGGTGACCTAGATTTACAGAGTGAGCACGTTTCCCTTCTCTGTTCTTTTCTCTCATTTGACAAACTCACTTTACCTCTCTGCAGCCCACCTCTATCACCACACACACAAACACACACGGACACACACACAGACACGGACAAACACACACGGACACACACACACACGGACATACACACACACACAGACACGGACACACACACACACACACACAGACACGGACACACACAAACACACACACACACACACACAGAAGAAACTAAGCACCGTCTTCCTCCATTTATCTCCTACAGTGCAATATTCTGTTTAATGCCAAGTCAAATTATACCATTTATATATATATTATAGATTACCATGCAGCTTGTGTAATAACACGTCCATATATTCCATCACTGTGAAATATAAATCGAAGCAGATAGTGTTCACTATACTTATATACTATACATAGACATAGGGATGGCCATATACATACTGTAATTCTCTGTGGGACTTGACTCGGGACTTGTCAGTCTTAACTCGAGACTTGTCAGTCTTGACTTGGGTCTTGACCAGGGACTTTGTAAGTCTTGACTTGATTTTTGACTTGTCAGACTTGATTCGGGACTTGTCAGTCATGTCTGTTTGTGATGACTTACTACACTATATCTTTACGTATGGTTTCATTAATGCTCTGAATCTTTAGTACCTTTAAGTGAAGGTCTGAGTACTATGACTCGCCCCCTGATGGACAGTAGAGAGAATGCAGCTTTAAGACATGAAGCTTTGGCTTCACTTTAAAGAACCGGTGGGTTCTGCCTGGTATTTGTTGCTGCAATGAGCTACTTTCCCTCAGGGATCAATACGTTTTAACCTTATCTTTCTGTATGTGACTGCTGTGTGTGTGTGTGTGTGTGTGTGTGTGTGCTGACTGATGCAGTGTGGGAGTAGATAATGTAATCCAGCCACAGTGCAGAAAGACAGTCGGGGGGATTTAATCGCCCGTGGAGCTGACACACAGGAAGGGCCGAGGAGACCAGGGCCCCGCCAGCAGGTCTGGGAACACAGGGAGGGGAGGCTGTGGATGCTGGCCTCTCAATTCACTTCCACTACGTCTCAATTACAGCCAGAACACACACACACACACACAAGGAATCCAAGGACGGCCAAGTCTATTTCAGAGTCTGTTACAAATGTTACCTGCAAGAACCGATGACCCACAGACGTGAACGGGGAACCGAGTGACTGCGAGGACATTAAGACTGCAAACACACTAAATTAACCTTCAGCGCACACACACACACACACACACACACCTACACCCACACACACACACACACCTACACACCTTAAGCCTTACTCTCTCAAGTCATGAAACATTTAGTGCATACATTTTTAGCAGAAAACTGTGCACATGAATTTTCGAAGAAACTGTTTCGTTGGCAGTCTCAAGACAAAATGCTGTTGCAGCAAATTCTGTGAATATTCAAATAATCTTGAAAGATGTAAAATATTCTATGAAGAGAGTTTGGATCACAAGGAACTCATTTAAATTACATGCACATGGAAGCTCAAAGTAAAGCTGCAATGGTGCAGAGTTGTCTAAAGGCATGCTACTTTGATCTCAAGTACTTTGCTGGGATTATGCAACCCCCCTCCCCCCCCCCGCTCCCCCCCCCCCCCCCCCCCCCCCCCGCAAAAAAATGTACCCAGAACAGGTGAGGAATCTAAAAACCAAATAACATCAGACGTACCTTGCCTCCTTTGTCTGCACTCCGCTCTGAATTGTAAAGCTGCTCGCAAACAGAAGCAAAAAGGGGAAAGAGAAAAGGAAACGTGAAGGAAAAGTTTGGCTAAGCACAAGTGAAGTAAACACAGAAGAGTTGAATCAATTAAAACTACAATAGAGGCTAAGCCCCGCCCCTTCTGGTGGACTAGAATGGGACCTTATTTTGGAAAAAACATGTAAGGTGAGAAACAAACTACTTTTGGATCTTGTTTGAGTTGTGCCATGAATTACACGTGTTTGTTAATTTAAAAGATCATTTTTGCACGTCAGGAGAGTCGCAGTTTGACGTAAAACTGTTGAAGTATAAGACTGTAAAAATACGTACCGAGAAAGACTACACCCCCAAAAGTCAAGTGTGTTTTGTACCAGGAGGTTCTCACACCAACAAACCGGTCTCAATCGCTCTTTCTCTTTCAGACTGATAAAAAGAGTCTCTGGATAAAAACACATCAGGTAAGATAACGTTATATTTGGAACATAGCTAAGTTAGCTAGCTAGCTAGCTAGTAAGTCAAGGTAACGGACACATTGGTGTTGGTGACGTACTATAATGTGCAAGACCAGACAGCAACCTTCGGTTCCGACGAGTGAAGTCGATGCTTAAAGCTGCATTCTCTCTAGTGTCCACCAGGGGGCGACTCCTCTG